AGCCTCCGCAAGAGAAGGTTGAGAGGCGACCTTGTGGCTGCCTATAAGTTCATCACGGGGGCACAGAAGGGAATTGGTGAGTATTTATTCACCAAGGCGCCCCCAGGGGTTACAAGAAATAATGGCCACAAGCTAGCAGAGAGCAGATTTAGATTGGACATTAGGAAGAACATCTTCACAGTTCGAGTGGCCAAGGTCTGGAACAGGCTCCCAAGGGAGGTGGTGCTCTCCCCTACCCTGGCGCTCTTCAAGAGGAGGTTAGATAAGCATCTAGCTGAGGTCATCTAGACCCAGCACTCCTTCCTGCCTATGCAGGGGGTCGGACTCGATGATCTATTGAGGTCCCTTCCGACCCTAACATCTATGAATCTATGAAGTCCCAGAGTGGGCACAGAAGGCCCCAGAGAGGTGTGACACTACCGAGAAGGCCCCAGAGAGGGCATAGAGAGCCCCAGGAAAAGGGCAGCATTCTAGAGAAGACCCAGAGAGCGGGCGAGTGTACAGAGGAGGCCCCAGAGACGGGCAGTGTGTGTATAGAGACAGACCAACATCCATCCCATCTGCAAGGCTTGGGGCGTGGTATCGGGGGTGGTTGGAGCCATGCATAGCCCATAAGGCTAGGGTGCCCGGGAAACATCCATCATACAGGGAGACCCCCGGTGAGTCCGGGAAAACATGGGGATGGAGGTCCCAACTAACCGTGCCCAAGGAGACGTGAGGCAGCCTCCCAACTTTACCTAAACATCAAAGACGTGGCGGGCGAGAATTAGAGGGTGCCCTTGGGCCGACTTGGCACGGAAGAGGGGGCCTTAAGGAGAACACAGCCCTCCTGTAGGACCCTGCCGTGACACCAACTAAAACCAAAAATACCCTAAACAAATAGTGCTTTACTGAAAGAGGCAATGCATCAGTTTGACCTGGCTCCCTAGCCTCTGTATAACTCGCATGCTTCCCTGGGGCTTTTTTGGTATCGCATAGCAAACTAGAAATAAAGCCCAGGAATTAAATCTTCACCCCAATGCAGCCAAAAGGAGTTTTTCTACTGACTTCAGAGGGAGCAGGAGGTCATCTTATGAATCTCTATACCCAGGCCCCTTCCCTAATCACCAGGCAACACTCTCTCTGTAAGAGCTCGTGCACCTTACCTCCGTGATAAGGATAAAAACAGGTTAAATACCCTAATTACTGAAAATGTTACAAAGAAATATTGATTGTATAAAGCACTGATTCTCATCCAGTGTGCCAAGCAATATTGTCACTTTTAGGTTGTACAAACATGATTCAGAAGAGAAACCCAGAGATTTCAAGTAAGACTTCATAGTGTTAAAAACATTCTGATCTGGTCTGAGTTATCTGCAACAGAAGAACTGTTCTATTTTTCTGTAGGCAAAACACAAGTAAAAATTAAGGGCTGGGATTTTCCAACAGGTACCTTGAGATGAACAAGGAGTGCCTTGACTCAAAAAAAGTTGAGAACCCCTGGTATAAGCTATAGGATCCAGTTTCATGTTAAAAAGTGATTAGCGTAAACAAAATTGTTTGCATTAAACTCAGGGTATTGTTGGTTGGCTGACTTACTAAAATATGAAAGTGTTAATGAAATGTCTTTATTAGCTGGTTAGATTTATCTGAATATTTCATTTGTTACTAAATTTAGCCCAAAACACACATGTAACACTTACAGAAAATCATCTCTTAAGTTTCCATTAAAAGTTCCACAAAGTCCTAATGTTCTTCTCTTCCAACTGATATCAACTTGAATGTATAGTCTCTCTCCATCCTTAGCAAACAAAATCTTTAAGCCAAATCTAGTTTTCAGCTGCACAAATAAAGATGACAAGTTTCGAATTTCAATATCCCCTGTAAGTAACAAAAGAGAAACACAAAATTAATTTTTCATAGTTTTTTAGCAGCACTTTTATACCTACTGAAACACAGGGGTTATACAATTTGCCTGAAGTTAAACAGGAAGTCTGGCTAACAGAAAAATTCTGATTCAATTCAGAGAGATTAGAGTCTCCTGATTTAATTCAGAGATTTGGCCACTGAATTGGACCAAATCTCTGCCAAAGCGAATCAGCAACTGAAGCTTCACACAGCCCTAATAAATCTCTTGGCATAGGTCGACATACTTTTACATTCTAAAGATCTGAACAGTTTGGTAGATATTAAGTCAATTGAGCATTTTCAAGTCTCATGAACTTAAGCCTTTTGTCTGCAGCTTAAAACAATTTAAATCTCTTTCACTGCAGTTAATGCATCAGAATGTATATAGATTTTCTCTAAGGGTGACTAGGTCTAAAGTGTCTGCAACTGCAGGGAGTCTAACCACCATAGGTAGCAAATAGAATGACTGTAAAATTTAATTTCTCTAGTGCAGGAATGTCAAACTCACCTACCCCTTGGGCGTGCATCTGGACCACAAGGCTCCTCATGTGGTGCATCTACCAGGGTGAGCATCATCAGGGAACCATGGGGATTAACATAGGCATTGTTCAGCTGCCCAATGCTGAAAGATGTCTCCAATGGGGTTGTGTACGCATATTTCAGTGGTGGGCCTGTCCCCTGAATTCCTGGCTCCTGCAGGCCATTCGTTTGGCATCCCTGCACTAGTGTACCTGAGAGAGCTGAACCAAATGACTACTTCGCCTCGGTCTTTCACTGGACCAAGGGGAAAACCACACCAGGTAAAGTAGAGGATGAGCACAGTAGGAATAATCACCTTCCTACTTTTGCCATACAATTGGTTATATGACACATTTAAAAAAATTAGACATATACAAAATAACGGGACCAGATGATCTTCATCCGAGAGTGCTGAAAGAACTGGCCAAAGTCATTGTGGAAGCTCTGGTGAAACTCTTCCACAAGTCGTGGCACTCTGGAGAAGAGGGCCAATGTTGTGCCCATCCACAAGAAGGGCAGGAGGGAGGACCCGGGTAACTATAAGCCAATCAGCCTATCTTCCATCCTAGGGGAAATCCTAGAAAAGTTCATCAAGGAGTCTATCTGTGATAAGCTTGCTGAAGGTAAGGTTTTGAATGACAGTCAGCATGGCTTCATTGTGGGCAGATCTTGCTTTACCAACCTCATCTCCTTCAATGACCAGGTAATTCACCACCTGGACACGAGAGAGCAGGTTGACATTGTATACCTTGACTTCCGAAAGGCCTTTGATCTAGTATCCCACAATGTCCTTGTGACAAAACTGGAGGATTGTGGGCTTAACTCCAAGACAGTAAGGTGGGTGAGAAGTTGACTGCAGGATAGGACCCAGAGTCGTAGTGAACGGATCTGTCATCCTGGCAAGAAGTGGGCAGCAGTGTCCCGCTGGGATCAGTGCTTGGCCCAGTACTTTTCAACATCTTTATTAATCTTTTGGATGTGGGGGTGAAGAGCTCACTGGCCAAGTTTGCGGATGACACCAAGTTGTGGGGGAGTGTGGCCACGCTTGAAGATAGGCTACAGATACAGGTGGACCTAGACAGGCTAGCAATTTGGGTGGATCGGAATCTGATGAAGTTCAGTGTCGAGAAATGTAAAGCGCTCCACCTCAGGATGAGCCATCCCCAACACACCTACAGGCTTGGTGGCACCAAACTGACTAGCACCACAAATGAAAGGGACCTGGGGGTAATAGTAGGCCATGGTATGAATGTGAGCCAGCAGTGCAATGCTGTAGCCAGTAAGACAAATATATACGCTGGCATGCATCAATCGATGCATCTCCAGCAAAACCAAGGAGGTGATTCTTCTGCTCTACTCAGCACTGGTGAGACCACAGCTGGAGTACTGCATCCAGTTCTGGGCACCGCACTTTAACAAGGACATGGACAAGCTTGCGAGAGGCCCAAGGGGTAGGTGAGTTTGACATTCCTGCACTAGAGAAATTAAATTTTACAGTCATTCTATTTGCTACCTATGGTGGTTAGACTCCCTGCAGTTGCAGACACTTTAGACCTAGTCACCCTTAGAGAAAATCTATATACATTCTGATGCATTAACTGCAGTGAAAGAGATTTAAATTGTTTTAAGCTGCAGACAAAAGGCTTAAGTTCATGAGACTTGAAAATGCTCAATTGACTTAATATCTACCAAACTGTTCAGATCTTTAGAATGTAAAAGTATGTCGACCTATGCCAAGAGATTTATTAGGGCTGTGTGAAGCTTCAGTTGCTGATTCGCTTTGGCAGAGATTTGGTCCAATTCAGTGGCCAAATCTCTGAATTAAATCAGGAGACTCTAATCTCTCTGAATTGAATCGGAATCCTCCAAATTGATTCATAGAGATTTGGAAAGATTCGATGATTCAGACATAGACACAGCTTTAAATGTCTTTTTCTACATACCTCAAGGTACCAGGCAGCTTGTGAATGCTTCAATGGTGGGGTGCATGGAGCATCCCACAGGAGTGCGAGGAGGTCCCTAGCGTGCTTGACAGCAGACCCAGAAGTGGACCAGAAGCACTTCTGGTCCATTTCTGGGTCCACCAGGGAGCGCACGGGGTGGCACCCCGTGACTAGTGCCTCCTGGGTCTGGGAGGGAACCTGGGGTCCCCCTGCAGCCAATCGCCAAGCCAGGGCGGGTTGGGGGTCCCCCACGTGCTCAGTGGTGGACCTGGAAGTGGACCAGAACTACTTCCGGTCCACTTCCGGGTTTGCTACCAAGCACATGGTGGGACCCTGTGGGATGCTCCATCCACCCCAGCATCACAGTGATCATGAGTCGTGCCTGGCACGTCGAGGTATGTAGAAAAAACCTCTTAAAGCTGTGTCTATGGCCAAATAGCTGATTCTCCAAATCAGCATCGAATCTTCAGATTCGGCAGAATCAAATCAGGGACACTGATCCAAATCAACGAATCAAATCACTGTCCCTGATAGGGGCCGAATCCAAATCAAATACAGCCCGTTTCGTACACCCCTATCTATCATAGGCAAAGAGGTTCTACAAACTACTGAGAACACCAAAAGGCAGAACCAACGTCATTTAAACTTTGCTTAACTATATATCCACACTTTCTAGTAGTCAGAGCTTTAATGTGTCACCTTAATATTTACAAGGCTTCCCTCAAAATTTGTTTTCTTAATCGGAACATCCTACAATCAGTTTGAGCCCATTAACTTATTTCTACTCAAGCTTACCTTCTGGTTAACAAGTGTGCTCAGAATTAAACCATCAAATGCTCTCTTTAACCTTAACTTCAGAAATACTAACATCCCAACTTCTCCTCGGTCACAGTCCAGAACAGAACTCAGGAATTCTTAGCTGTCTGTCTCATGTGGATGACATTAAGCCACATTTTCTCTCTTCAATCTTTGCTTGCAATAACTTCACACAAACTAAAATAATGCTGGACCCACTCCATCAGTATCAGGTGGGGGAAGACAGAAGAGCAGCTCCCCATTGCAACTCATAGCAGTTTGCAGGAAGCACTATGAGTTGCAACAGTCCTCCAGACCCAACAGTTTGTTGTTAGGTCCAGGAGCTGATGATTCCAGCTGCTTGCTGCCAGCCTACAGCCTGGCCTCCAAAGCAACGCCACTCTCCCCCTACCAGCCTGACACTGTTTTCAGAATAGGAGGGGGGGGAAAGGGAGCAAAGGAAACTTATTTTGGGGGTTCCCCAGCCATGCTGGACGGTGGAGTGGATGGATAGGATCCCCCCACACCTCGGGTAGGGGGGCTCCAATACACCTGCTGTACCCTCTAGTGCTGGCTGAAAAAACCCCATAACAAACTCCTTGCACTCCCTTTCCTCCCTCCTATTCTGAAAACAGCAACAGGCTGAGAGCTCCACAGACCCAAGTTACAAAATGTACTGTTTTGGAGAATGTTCAAATTTTCTAAGGATCGGGCCCTTTTAAACCAGTCTGCAGTTGTGCATTTCTGTTTGGGCCTGATAAAGCAATCTACAGCTATGAACAATCAGGCACACACTGTCACTGCTGTCTGCACCCAGGATGATCCTACAGAAAATAAATTCAGGGTAGGTTAAATCTCTATAAGTGTCCTTGGGGGTAACTTTCCTTTAACTTTATTCTGTAGTAGACCTCTCAAGACAGCTGCTTTCATTAAATATTGGACACTCAATCATTCTAGTACTGCTACCAAAAAAAATAAGCCCCATTCACTCACTTCTTCTGAGGCACATCAACACTAGGTACAGTAGATGGGAGCTCTCTCCTCAGCACTTTTCTCCTAACCTGAGAACAATTTGGGGGCATACACTGAGGGACACTGTAAGCTGTCTCTTCCACCTAACTGCCAATATCTGGTGAACCCAAGTGAGTGAGTGGATGAGACATTCACTGACAGTAATGGCAAGATCTGGAAGGAGACTACCCCAGAATGAATTGGCTAGGGAAGCAGACACACACTGGTTATACCAATGGACAGTTATTTTTCACTTTGAGAGGAAACTTCCCCCTGAAGTGGAGTGACTTACTCAGATACAGGGTGCACAGCTTTGCAATAGTGTATGTACAGTATTCCATAGGCAATTTAAAATCTTAAGTTAGTTTTTAACAGTGATGGCATCTTTCATGGTTTTCCTAAGAATCATTTACATAGAAAAAGTGTAATAAAAATCATTAGAAAAAACAAAGAAAAATGTGAACTTTAGTGGCACTCCTACCCATATATTTCTTACCATTAATGTTAAGACCCTGGTTAGGGCCAATTTGGACATCACCATTCCTGGTAATAGTAACTTGTTTATTCATATCATCTTCAAGAATTAACATGATAGACTGGATGCACGCGTGGTCAAGTTTCTGAGCAAAAATGAATTAAAAAAATACAAAGATTTTTTTCGGAAGATAAATAAGTTACAGCTTGTTCATACAGAACAAATACTTTTATATAAAACAGCCATGAGCATCATCATTAGTTGAGACTTTTGTGGACCAGTGACCAAAAATGTTCACCTGGAAAAACCATGGAAAAGTGCACATAACAGTGAGTGCAAATACAGTATATTTATGCCTGATAGGGCACTGCATAAGATGTGCAGAACCAATTATTTTTATTAATGGAAATGAAGTAGCAAGCAAACTAAAGCTCCAATTTTAAATATGAGTCTAAATGGAAGATTCCTGTGCCCATTCCAAAAGCCTCTGACTGCACTGTGGTTCCTAATGAAAGCAAGGGTCAACTCATATGGGTTCAGCCGTACGTTTCAATACCTGAATGACATCTCTAAAACTACCCACCCTAGATTTCACAAATACAAGACTCCTCTCTTCCCCTTGGAATACATCTGTGATTTCTGACTATCACAAGAAGGATAATTCCCCAAAATAATGATAAATTAATGTATAATAAAGTGCCTTAAAAGGAAAAAAAGTACTAAGTTAGACTAGCAACATTCTAAGTTTTTTAAATCATGTGTGCTTCAAATACACGGTACCCTTCAACCTCAAAATAATATACATTTCAGTTAACACATTTCTTAAATTTAGCATTCCAAGAACAGAGAGAGCCCATAAAACATCAACTAAATGTTGTAAGCTGCTATGAAATGCCTTATCTAGCTGATGGTACAGTAAACCTGTTCCAACCTGTCAGCAAAAGTATTTATCCAAAACACCTGCTCAAGATGTAACCAAATATGTAGATAACTGTGTAATCATGAATGGATGACAGACTCCATAGATTTAAGCCTAATAAAGGCAGCAACTGATTTTACAAAGGAGAGTGCTAATATATTAATATAAAATATAGGCCATAAATAACACACATTTAGCCACTCACTAATAAAAAGCAGCAAAGGTGTTTCAATTTTGTTCAAAGCTGTTTCATGCCCAGCTAAATTTTTAATTGCTGTCTACATGAGACTACCTAAAACATTTATGTATCCATTTAGCATTGAAAATGTTTAAAAGTATAACCTCACCTGTCCACATGGAGCATTCCGTAAAATGACTGTGAATTTGTCTTTCCCAGTGCCTTTTACCAGAACATACTGGCAAATCCCAAGAAAAGTAAAATAACGACCATCAAATGTTGTGAAATGGGAGTTACCTACAATGGAGCACTCAGCTTGGGAGAGAAAAATCAATAAATAGGAAAATTAATTTGTAGAGAAACATACTGGAGTTCCATTAGACACAGAAAATAGACACAAACGGGTTCTCCTACCATGCGTTCCCAAACAGAATAGCTAATCTAGTTTAAATCCATCTAGCTATCATGTCTGCATAGCACAATTTTTGCATTCCCATTACATTTCCACCTCATCAGCTGTACTGCTGCTGACACTATGTGAGTAATTTTTAATTAGTCACTATCACTACTATCTGAGCACCTCCCACAAAAAAAAAAAAAAATTCTGTAAGAGTCCAACAACAAGACTAGATTTTTCCCCATTAGTCTTTCTGAAGTTAATGGAATTTTTCCTCCCTCATTTTTCTGCCTGCCCAAATGCAAAAAACATGTACTTCTTCCTCACTTTTATATATGTGGCGGAGCACCTTTGGGGTGCTCGTCACATGGAAGGGGCTGCAACAGGCTGGGACAAAGCCAACAGAGAAGGCAGCCAAGCAAAGCCCCCAAATGTCATTCTAAGTGGGAAGGTGTGTGGTGGAGCACCTTTGGGGGTGCTTGCCACCTGAGGGCTTTCATAAGCTCTAAAGGGGAGCCTGCTTTGGAAGAGCATCAGCGGAAACCTCCCCCAAGAACTATTTTAAGGGGGGAGGTGTGTGGCAGGGCACTGTTGGTAGCTGCTACTTTAAAAGCAGAGCCAAGCAGCCAGCTGGTGCTTGATTGTGGCGGCCATTTTAGATCTCTGCCCGCCTATATAAAAGAGAGCAGTTTGCTGCTGGCAGGCCAGGCAGTAACATTGCCTGGCTGCAAGACTCCATGCAACATTCTGGAGGTTAGGGCAGGAGCTGTAGGGGATGGCTTGGAGGCTCCTGGTCCTGGGCATGACCTAAAACTGCACTCTGCTGGGAGTGGGTGGCCTGGTGGGGCTCTCAGTGGCATGGGAGCCCCCAGGAAATGCCAGGCCCGTTACCACCCTGGTGAAAGGTGGGCAGGGGCGCCTTAACCCTAGCTCTCACCTTTGGGTGGGTCACGTACCATCGGAGGTAGTGGGGCCAGGCATGGCTGTGACCACCTGAACCTTGTGGGGTGCAAGACCCTGAGGAGGAAGAGTGGGGGCCAGGCACGGCTGTGGCCACCTGAGCCCTGTGGGGTAGAGGACCCTGAGGAAAGGTAGTTGGAGCCAGGCACTGTTATAGCCACCTGAGCCCACCTGAGAAGGGAAGCCCCATGGCCCCAGTGAGGAGGCAGAGATGAGGGGCCCCCGTGGGGGGGGGGGGGGGGGGAACGAGAGGGCTGAGAGCCCAGTATGTTTATATGTACCTAGTTGCCCCCAGAAGGGACGAGAGCAAGCTTAGACCCGGTTGGGTAATTGGCTGACCACTACCCCAGTGAGGGTAGCAGGAGAGGCCCAAAAGATGGTATATCTGCCACCCAAGGTACAAATTAGGTAAAGCCTATGGCCTAAGGGGCCCGCTCCAAGAGGAAGCAAGGCAGTATGAGTTGTCGACGTGTGAAAGAGACCCTGTGAGCGAGGGTGGAGTGTGAGAGGCCCTAGGGAGAGGAGGGCGGTATGAATGTGTGTGTGACTGAGGACTGACAACGAGGCCTAAGCTTGGTCTGACTGTAAGCTGGAAGCAATGTGTCATCTGGATGCCATCTGCGAGGCTTGGGCTGCAGTGTAGGGGAGGAACGGAGCCGCAGATAGTGCCCCCTGGCATCAGGGCAAGAATGGGCAGACTCCCACCTTAATTTAATATCCTAATTAATTAACAAGGCATGACAGGTGAGTCAGGTGGGTGGTGTGCCCAAAGGCAAGTGGGGAATCTAGCACTGTGGCTAGTCAGGAAGCCCCACTTCACCACAATATATTATTTTCCTTCAATTTTCCTGCTAGGGTGACAAGGTAAGCTTGGGGTAGCAAGGCTTTTGTACTGCATTCTGAACAGGGCCAGCTTATCCTATCCTGCAAAACCTGTGGCCACAGCCAAGGGGCCCCCTGTGTCCAGCTGCTTGCCAGCCCTGTCCCCCACTACTGACACCACCACTGCCGGCTTCACATCTGTCTGCTTGCCCTTCCCCTCTCCCCACTAGCTTCTTCTGCTGTTCACCACACCCACCCAACCCCCAAATTGCCGGCTTCTTCACACCAGGGGCCCCAAAAAAATTGAGGGCCAGCCCTGATTCTGAAGGAGGCTAGCACGCATCCAAGGGAGACCCATAAGCTATATGGAGCCATCTAACAGAAAAATTCTGTCTTCACTTTCATGAGTCTGCCCCATCAGTTTGACACGGTTATCCTTTCTAGGAAACACTGCTTTCAAGGGAAGTCTTGGTCACTAAGTGACACCAACTGTTTTGAATAATTTACTACAAAAGCCAGAGGCCTTACAGATAAGGATTGTTACAGTAATTAAAATGGAATTCTGTAAAAAAATATACTAAACTGAGAAAATACTTCATGAAGAGTATAGATCAAGGCTGTTCAACTAGTGGCCCATGGGCTGTATCTTGCCTGCAAGGGGTTAAAATGCAGCCCGCAAGCTCCTGCTCGGCTGTAGCTCCCCCAATTGCTCTGGCTACAACAGCAACCAGAGTTTCTAGACTGCACCTCCCTCTTCCAATTGCTGTTTCCTGTCCCCTGCCCCAGGGGAGGGGCAGTGCAGGGAGCTAAGGGTGAATGTGAGGAAAATAAAGCAGTGGCGGGCTAAGAGAGATGGCAGACATGCCATGTAGTGGTGGAGGGAGGGACGGGCCTGCAAATACACAGTGCAGTGGTGGGAGGGGTGTGTGGTGCAGCTTGACTTGGTGGGCCCATTGGGCATGAAGCCTCCAGTCACTTGGAAGTTGGACAGCAGTGGCAATGCATAGGGGGTACACAAGGGTGCATGTGCACCCCCTGAGAGAACTGGCACCCCCTGACTGGCTGTGCTCACTGCTTAGGTGATGGGTGGGGAAGGGGCAGGTGGGAGCGCCGGTGCTCCCCCAGCAAGTGCTGGCTGGGGGGTGGAGCACTGTGGTGCTCCCAGAAGCAGCCGCAGTGATTGGTTGTCTCATGATCAGCTGCAGAGTGACCCCCGCCCCCCCCACCATGTCAGCAAGATCGGCCAATGAGGGACCCCCTGCCCCTGGTCACTGACTGGTTGCTGGGGGGGAACATGCACCAGTCGCCCATGTTGAACAGACATGCACTGAATGAAGCATTCTTATTACTGTTTGTTACCATTTCACTTTCAATACAGGGAAGTGAATACACATGGTTGTGAAGGCTGGGCACTTAAAGACATGAGGGATGAATTAAAGCATTTACAATTTTGATATTATAGAAAAAGGTTGAATTTTAGCTAGATATCTAACACTAAAACATGAAGAGAGATAAATGAAGAATTTAGGAAAAAAATTTACTTGAAATACTTTAGACACATTGTGAGATCAATAGCCAAACTCCTCAATTCCAGCATATGTATTATCAGGCAAAATAGAAGGAAAGCCAGAAAGAGGAAAAAAGAGCCAGTATGTCAGAAATACTGCAGGATACAAATAGTAATCAAAATAAGAGTAGATATTTTACAGGTTTGTTGTGACCATAAAAGATGAAAGCTAGAGATAAACAACCTCTGAACTGAACATGTCACCTGGAGAAAAAGAAACCTTGAGGGCATATTAGCTTTGTCATCTTTTAACAAACTCATCTTTTTCCAACTCATTCCATATACTGGTGATAGGAATCATTAAAATATAGTTACCTGGGCAGTCATGTTCAGTGCAGTTCCAAATACCACCAATACAAATACTGAAAACACACAAAAAAAGGGAGACAGCAACATAAAACATAGAAAGCAATCATTTTTTCAGATTTTAAGAAAATGTAACTTTCTAGTGTTACACTTTTTAAAGACAGTTTCCTAGGGTCTGAGTCAGATACAGACCTCGGGCTTTATGTGCATATGCTGTGTATGCATAAAAATATCATTTGTATTGCAGTCTATTTTTAAGAAATACATATTTGATTACTTTTGAAATATGTATATTTGATCACTTAAGAAATGTAATGTAACTTCATACCATCTTAGGAGGCATATGTTAAATATAGGTAGGTAGACAGAGAGAGACACACACACAGTAGAAGGTGAGTTTACATACCAGTTACTGCATTCTTGTTGGATTTTTGAGCCTACAGGGAAGGCCACCCCGTGATAAATACAAGGACAATTTGATACAGAGATACAAGTTCCATTTTCCATAATGAGCCCTAATTTTGGCAAAAAAAGAAAAATTCTGAAAACATGGAAGGATAATCTTTCTGAACAAAGTAGAATATGTGCCCTATTTAAAAAATTCAACACAATTCTTAAAAAATTATATATACCAATGTCTTTGCACTATTCTCACTTATATAATGCACTAGAGATCACTGGAGTTTTAAATGATAGTGACCAGTTCAGTTACACACTGCATTTTGGATAATTTTAGAATACAATATATCAAATGGGGGGGGGGAAGGATTATGTAATAAGAGCTAACATAGAAATAGCAATATGCATTCTTCCAAATTTTTAGTCTTACAATAGACCATCCATTTAGATCCTATTGTTGTCTTGTTGGACATTAGTTTATTATCAATATATCATGTGAAGTTTTAGATGCTTACCATCTGGACAATAACAGCCATCTAAGCAATGGAGGTTGCTACCAAGACAATCCTTTTCGAACGTACAGGTTGGCGGGCAACAACTAATGCAATCCCGATGCACAAAACTGTCTTCACACTTTTCAGCTAGAGGATGTACAAATAACACTGGATATTAGCAAATCATTTTTCCTTTTATAAATTGAAGAGGGTCAATAATTAATTTGTTTTTCAACTGTAACATCTCACTAAAAATGTTGCACAATGTATATCACTTATGGCATAAGTGATGCATTGGAAGGACAGGGGGGGCACATGCCTCCACAGCAGGGCACAGGACTGCAGCCTGAATGGACTGGTATCAGGCTGCCTCCAAGGCCCAGCAGGCAGGACCCAGGGCAGGGGGGCAGAGCTGGGTGGCAAGACTTGTTGCTGCTACCACCACTAGGACCCCCCACACCAGCCATGCCACCATGGAGTAAAGCCACGTTGCCTGCAGCATCAGGAGTAAAGAACTAGGTTGGGCAGGAGGGCAGGGGGAGGTGCTGCATTGCTCTCACCTCCTACCACCATCAGATACTTGCACACTGGGCCACGACTCTACTCTACCGCAACAGCCCAGCTGCTACCGCTGCTGCTCCTCTCAGGCCACCTGTACAGCCCCTCACCCCCCACCTGCCCTCTGCTGTAGAGCCACAGCCCCACATGCAAATGGCTGGCAGCAGGAACAGTGCATGGGCATGTATTGCTGGTCATATCCATGTGGTACCCCCTGTGTTCAATTGCCCTCCTCCCACTTGCCCCAGCTCCAAGCAGCCTCTTGTAGGCTGGAATTAAAATCATTCCCTAGCAGTGGGGGCCAAACAAATTAAGAGGTGTGCCACACTAAGCCCTGTTCCCTCCCTTAGAGCTATTCTGATCTTTCCATACCCAATCCACTCTTCTGCTTTCTGCTCCCTGCCTTACCTGTCATCTGTGTTCCTTGCTTCCTCCCCCATCTACTACATGCCACACACAAAGGCTACCTGTGTCACTTCTGGCATGAGTGACAAGGGTTGGCCACCCTTGCTCTAGCAACCATGCTTCATTATCACTTACGAAATATGTTATACCGTAAGTCAATTTATACAATTATAAGACTTGTGTAATTACAGTAAACATTTGGTGCCAATATGGAACTAAAATGTACATTACTAGAATATAAAACAATAAAATATTTAATAATAAATTAAGCTTACTGCAGGCAGGAAAATCATCCCTCCAGTCTAGTACAGGGTATCCTGCATGTGAGCATGCTCTAGCATACTCTGTCACTGTTCGGCAATAAGTTTCATCATCATCCATTCTGAAATGGAAAAATGGTTTTGTAAGCACTGGGTACATCTACACTAGACATTTGCTGCAGAGTTGCTTTATTAGCTCCTCAGTAAAATCTCAACATCTACATGTGCAGCCCTATTAGGCTGCAGGAAACTAATTGACTATGCCACAGGTTAGTACTTGTAAATGTAAGTACTAACCAGTGGCAGTTTTATTTAATGAAGAGCAATGCATGTGTACATGCTGACAGAGTTGGCTTGGGCATGAGGGTGCCTCAAATGCAGGGTTGGTTGCCTGCCAGCTAGCCCCACATTGGTGCACCCTCATGCCCCAGTCAGTCCCTCCACAGCATGTTTAATTGGGTCGGAGCAGCCCCAAACTAGCAGGCTGACCCCTGGGGCACACTGCCAGCTGGGGCTGCTCTGACCTGGATCAACATGCTGGGGGTCTCAGGGCAAGGTGAAGACAGTGCCCAGGAACAATAAACTCAAGAGTTTATTCATTCACATTAATTTCATGTGTAGACGTGCCCTCTGAGTGCTAAATGCAAGAATTATGAATTTCTCTCTCCTATATAACATCGCAGAACTCTATACAGGGCTAGCAATACACATTGTGAAAATGATACAAATTACAGCATCAGCTGAAAAAAGAAACTGGGACATTGCATATGTTTTTACATGTTTATGTTTTGATATGATAAAAGGTATTTTTTTATTTTCATGTTACAACCACAAACATAGTTAATATTTTATTACAAAATAAATCAATGCTAATTAACAGAGGGAAACAGAAGTCTTGTAATGAAGGCAGTGGAAAAGATGACAGATCTTATTCCTGACTCTGTCAAGGAATTTCTGTTTGACCTTGGTCAAAATAACTCTCTATACCCCAGCTATAAAATGAGGGTGTCCCTCTCTCAAAAAGCCACTGTAAGTATATAATCATTAACAATGGCATACAGCTCATATACTCATGTGATGGGAATTGTATATAGACAATCTGGAGAGTCACGACCATATTAAAATTAACTTAAGCCCATCATGATCTGTCATTCACTATGGAGGACTTATTGCCAAAATAATTAGTCACAAGACATCTTCATAAAAAACAAAAACAAAATTAGAACATATTGCCTGTGTTTACTTGTCTTTCAGTACTACTAAAACTAATAGTTCTAAGAATATGTTACATTGTACAGGTTCTGCTTTCAACACACCTCTTAGAAACTCAAACACCACTGTACTTTTGTTATGTCCATCAGTCTCCCCAGCTCTCCTCCCATAATCCAATTAAATGAGTCTTAAAGAAACTGTGACTCGGCATATCAACTAGGCTCCACAAGGAACTTCCTGAACTGATGCTAAGCTGAAAGATGAGAGGTTAAGCTGCAAGATGAGAGGTCTCTTATGAACATAAGCCTAAATTAATGAGATCCTGAGACATGGAAGCTTCCTTCAAAAGTTTAAAATACTGAGACCATTCATATCAACACCTACAGGCATGTAAAAAAAAAAAAAAAAAAAAAAAAAATCCTCCCTGATATTCCCTCAGTTGACTCAATGTCATACTGAAAGTTTGTTTTACATTTTTCTCCAGGTGCAATAGTTATGAAGATGCAAAAACATTTTTTTTAATTGTCTTATAAATAAAATTCAGGTCCAGCCTGACTTTGGCTGCCAGTGAAATCAATGGAAGATGTCATGGGCTTCCATACAAACATTTTAGTCCCAAAGGATATAAACATGCAACCTGTCATCAATGGCAGAGCAATGCAACTGGGCATCTGGGGCACAACAGTAGTGGCAACTTCTGGTTGCTGCTGTATCACCAGCACAATCACACAGCTACCAACAGTAATGTTTTTTTCATCTCCCTGACCTAACTTCCCCCCCTGAAGTTGGTTGCTGGCCCTAGTTACACCACTGCTTGTCATATCCATTTTAGGGCAAAATAGAAAATTAAAAATTAGCAGCCTATTATATTAGTCAATGGTAATAACATAATGAAATAGCACATACAATGGAAGCTACTGGGTGGGTAGTTCTTCAGCTCACTGTACCGATCACTTTCTGCACCTCATTTCAACAAAAAATTGATAATTCACTTTGACAAAGTAGCAGAAACAGCTATTGCTATTCTTATTGCCTACATCACTAAGATTAATTTCTAATGAAAGAGTTTCTATTTAAAAAGTAAACACTTTGTTTGGTCAGCTATTCATTTTCAGCATACCTAGGAGATCATAATAAACATGACTGACTGATATTGTTGGAAAAGGAATCAACACTGCTGGTACTCTAGGGGGTGCTAAGTAAAACAAATTATTATTAACAGAGCACAGCGGCCAAAAAATTCTAGCATGCACAGTATGGGAAGCAAGGAGAAATACAGGGCTTATTTCATCTGGTATTTGAAGGTTTAGCTCCCTCTGATGTCTATAATCATTGTAACCTCCTTGGACCTGTTTGAACTTGACCCATTGCTTAGTATGGTTAGAGTGACTACTGCAATTGAAAACAGAGATGCTGGAACATGAAACTGGGGAACATGGGAAGGGAAGTACTTATTTAAAATAAAATAAAATAACCTGAAAAGCCCCATGCTCTGAAACATGACAGGCTGCTATGCAATACCCCCAAAAATATTTAATACCACCCTTCTTACCTGCAAAGGTCATTCATACAGCTAGAAATATAAGAATAAGGATCTATGCTTTCATGACAGCTGAGAAAAGGAAATTGTAGGAGTACTTGGCACTTGAAGAATATGGCCTGTGCATTAAAAACAAGAATTATTCCTTTAGTTCCACTCCCCCACAAAATAAAACTAATAAATAAAAAAATTAGTCTACAAGGTTCCTTTCAGAATATAAGGATTCCCCAGTTTTCTCTTGTATTATTCCTTATCTCTACTATATCCCTACTATATCATGGTTACTATGTTCATCATACCAGCCTGACGACTGAACTTCTAAACTAGTCAAAGACGACGACTGTTAATGATGAAAACTATTCACTTCTACATTGGAGCTAAGCATGTTTCTTGTGCTGTACAGTGTTCTCATGACACAATGAGATGCAAGAGATCAGGACTGAAAACTGAATCACAGGCCAAGGTGCCAGTGAAGATTTCTTAAGCAGGCCAGTTGGCAGATTCATTAGCTACACAAAACTTAATTCATCCTAGTTTGCCACAAACCCTCTAATGACCAGCCTGATCTGAATCTTCTCCCCAGAGTTCAATACGTTTAGAGCAAGTGTTTAACTTTAGATCCAGCCCTTTTCTGCATGCTGGGTATAATAAATATATTGAGCCCATTTCTGATCTCATTTACACTACTCCTTTCCTTATTTCCTCTTTTGCACTATAACTCTACTAGCATCAATGAAATTAATCCTGGCCTCAGACTATATGACATGAGAATCAGACCTACTGAGTTTAAAAGTCCTTTAGCATTCTGAAGTGTTTCTTAGGATTATGAAGAATAAAGATTAATACATTTCATTTATTCATTAATATAGTTCATTTATTATGTACCAATATAAATGGACAGAAACTGATCAGTTTAAATGATGCTACAATGTTAGTCTTTTAAACTATTATACAAAATTTTAAATCAATTGTTTATTAGGCATTTTTAGATTTCATACAGACATTTTTAGATTCTATGCGAGAGCCTTGGTTTTGGCAGGGGTTTGGCATTTCAAAACAATAGTATTGCCACTTAGTATAGGCTAGAGAAACTTATTGCTACAATGCACTCAACAAATTTACACTGACAAGCTTACCTCAGAAAACTCTGTGTCAGTTGAGCATGGACTAGAAAAATCTGAGGCAGTAGGTACACAAGTTGCATCCTCCAGGGTTTGCACAGACCAGCTATTTGCAAATACAGCAATGTCTTCTGTATAGTGACCTACTTCATAGAAAATATTGAACAGCATCACTTTCTACAAGCAGATAGGTCTTCCTGTCAAACCAAAACTGATTTACCGCTTGAGCAAAGCATTAAAATAGTCTTCCAATAATTGTTTTATGCTCACTTGATCCAAATTACACATATAATCAATCAACAATTTGAGATATTTAACAAATTCATTTGGTATAAAATATGAAATTAACATGAAATGTAACATGTTAAGTTTAAAAAAATTACCACAGTAAACACTTTTTTTTTTTTTTTAGGAAAAGTTATATATGTAGTAGTTTCAGAACAAATCTCCAAGTAAGGACAGATTTCTTTTTATGGCTATTTAAAAAAAAAAAAAATTCTTGCACTTCTAACACATTTCATGTAAGGATCTCAACATATTTCACAGAAGTGGGTGAGTGCTGACATCCCTTCTTTCCAAAAATAAAACTCAAGACACCACAAGTTTTCTTCTGGAATGAGAATATGAGATGCAATGGAACCACATATGACATTACAATTTACCAGTGGAAAGTGTTCAGGTTATGACAGATGTACCAGAACTTTTATAGAATAAATGACCACATTATTAAAAAAGAAAAAATGGACGTTCAAGTAATTGTTCAATGAAAGAAGGCTGGCAGCCAAAGCGCAGCCATGCCTGCAGCATAGGTTGCGGCTCCTGTGACCCCTTTCTGAAATCCTAGATCTTCCCCCTTGTACATAGGTACCTAAAATTTAATAAAGATGGACACAACAGGACAGAATGTTTTTAACACTATGGATTCCTATTTGAAATCTCTGGACTTACCTTGTGAATCAGTTTGCACACCTAACCATGTTAGCATTTCCTGGCACTCTGCAGCACCCCTGAAAGGATCTTAAGGAACCCCAGAGTGCCATAATACTGTAATTGAGAATCACTGCTATAGAAACTAATGATACTTTCTTTTAGAGACTGGGACCCATATAACTAAGGCTCACCTAAAACTACAAATAAATACAGATGCAACCCTATCCAAGACTCTAGGCCAGTTTCAGAGAGTTTGGACATTGTTCTTAGACTAAATATAGACAGAGAATTGATTCAACCTGCACAGGTTAGTCTGAGCTGCATAGATTGAACTGATAAGCAAGTGAACAGACAATCACTTTTGATTCCAGAAATGTAGTCACATGCCTGCAGTGGCCCAGGCTAGAAGCTGATTTCAACAGCCTAGCCAAACCGGTTGACAGGTATGTTGGCAAAGACCCCCAGATCGGATTCTAGATGTAAAGTAGCTAGGGCCTGTAAAAGTAATCTGTATGCTGACCACAAAGAACAGATTCTCTTATGCCAGTGATTTAATTATGGAAGTATGTCAAAGGATTCAGATTTGGAAATATTACAATGGGGAGCTGCAACTTATAAGCATCACATCCTATCCTTGTGAAAAAGTAACAGTTTGCTTCTCGTTTGCAGAAATATCATTAGGACACAGTGTTATAAAATTAGTTGCAGCTTAAGTTCAGTCTGATCCATTATTCTGACTTCTGCCAGACAGGAATTCTACTAATTCTACAAATTAAAAAATGGCACCGTGTAAGGCTGAAAGTTAAACAAGCAAGCAAACAAGGTCTAGGGATTGTCTTAAATAAATAGAAAACAGAAAGAAATGGAAAATATTCTTTTTAACAGTGTGTGAATCCATGACCTCTCTTTCTTTTTTATTCACTTTTTTTAACAATCCTGGAAATGTACTTTACTTTGGTATCCAGATGTCAAGTGTTTGGAACAGGACAATCAGTATAACAGAATCATAGGGGTGGAAGGCAGCCTCGAGGTTGATCTTATCCAAATGTTCCACAGATGCAGGTTTACTGTACCTGAACAGTACCATGCAGCATGCACTGTGAAGGGGATACAACCCATTTTCATTAGCCAGTTAAGCAAAGTGGAAGGGAGGTGTGCATGTGTGTGCGTGCAAATTTTTACTTGATCTGGCAAAATACACAGCATCTAATTATGACACAAAAGAAATGTGGCAAGAGAAAAGGAGAGGGGGAAAAAAAAACAAAATCAGGGCAAAACTGAGACAATTCTTTAAATTTAAGAATAGGCAATGATGAGAAACTAGACTCTTCCAGTATATTTTATTACAATGATTAAATCCGATTATTACTTTTCAGTTCTTTGAGAGAAACTTTTTTCCTTGCATTCCCAACATTCCACCTCTCACTCTAGGTAGGACTGAGTGTTTTCCATACAAAGGCAGCAGAATATTTTGCATGTTGGTTGTGCGTAAAATTTATATTGACCACCATCTACCATAAATAAGGTGTTACCTACAGAAAAATACTATTCAGATTCAAGGAGAAACCAACTGTCTCTAATTCTGACACTGTAGCAAATCAACAGCACAAACTGACCCACAGAGGGACCATGGCAGTGTACTATCTGGTCCAAGGTAAAATATAGCAGTGGGGAAAAAAAACACTTTCCTAAATTAAGTTTTTCAATTTCCCATATTTCACCGACCAAAAAAACATATTATTTCAATGGTAATTGATCATTCAGATTAATATGCTGAGTGAAAGAATTATGCATATATTAACTGTTTTAATTTTCAGCATATCACTTTAATGAAAAGCTATGTTTTTAATGTTTAAATATATTTTTATCCTTTAAGTTCAGCTTGTGTATAGATGCTTTGTTGAACAGGAAACTGTATAATTCAGTGTTTTGCTGAACTGGAGTTATACACCTAAGAACTCATCATATGGAAGGAAAGTGGAACAAATCCTATCTTTTCTACTCAACCTGATAATGAACTGAAGTGGAAAAAGCATTAATTTTTTTTAGTACAAGTCCCAATATTTACAAAACGGCATGACCAGGACAGTTGGCTTTAAAATAAAAGATGCTTTCCTGAGCTCTTCACTTACTATTTTGTATTACAAGGTCATCAGATTTATTGCCATTAAAATTTCCACACAGACCACATGGTTTCCCTTTATGTTCTTCTGTTAGTTTCATATAAATACCAGAGCTTCCATCCCAAGCCAGAGAAAAACCAAAGGTAGTTTTCACCAGAATGTAGTCGGCCAATCTCTCAAAGAAGACATTTCCAATTGTCTGAGGCAAAGTTAATCTGAAAAAACAAAACCACCCAATTCAGAGACCCTAAATATTCTTAGGCAGTAAGAAGGTGAGAGGGACCCTTCTAACACATTTTACCTTTTAACTCATAAAACCTATTTGTCATGTGCGCTCAGAGCAGATTTTTTATTTTCTCTTCAAAAAGATAAGTCAAAATTACCTTTCAGTCCTCTAGCTTTCTACAAAGAATATAGTGAAATAGGTATTTTCTGACATACACGCTAATGCTGGCCTCTTCTTTTACCATAGAGCCTCTAAGAGTATGGTTTTACAGAATAGTTATGTAGATATTACCTTCAGCCCCTCAACCATCCATGTGCAACCCACCCCACCTGAATTTCCAGGTGCTTTCAGACCTGACTAGCTGGCCCAGCTGTGTTTGCATTAAAACCTAGGTTCAACTTTCACTCAAAATGATTACCCACTCCCAGTACGGATAAAAGTTAAAAAAAATCCAAATGCCACAGTTTTCCCATAATACCCCCATGCACCCTGAAGGTAGGCAAGCTCCACAGCTCACAGGGAGGGTGGGGGAAATCATGGAGCAGCACAGCATACTGCGGAAGCAACAAATAAACTCATGCAATATCCCAAAGTATTGGAAACACTCATAAGTAGTTTTGCAATACAACTCACACCTGAGCTAAGCTAATCCAAATAGAAGGTGACCCAAAGTTAACACTACAATAAAAAAAAAATGCCATAAATGTAGTGTTTAGAATCATAATTCCCTAATGATAATACTTCATTTTTCTAGTAAGATATTCAAAATACTGTCAATTTACTTACCTAATTCCTTCTTTTCTTACTTCATGTCCCAAAATGACTATTTCTTCTTGGTTGGAAAAAAATAAGCTGATTGACCTCAGACAAGAATATACGGAGCCATCACACTGAGGGCTATTATGAACCTTGAGAGGGCAAAAATAGATATATACTAACAACAACAAATTTTTTACACAACATTTTCAGTAACATTTTCATATAATGTTTTATATTTGTACTTGCATCCCATGGAAGAATCCAGAGAGTTTTGCAAATAAATGCTTAGATTATATAGAAGAATACAAAGTTACGAGATCACTTTGCCCAGTGCTACTGCAATATACAGCAACTGTTTCAAAGCATATATGCCTATAACATTACTATATAGTTTAGGGGGAAAAAAGAGTGTATTATTTCATCCAAAACAGACTACAAAGGAAAGTTAGTGGAGCATAACATAATTATCCAGATACAAATGTTATTACAATACTGAGATGAGCACCTCAGTCTAACGAAAAGTGCCAGAAGACCTTCATAGTTCAGGCATCTGCTCTATTACACAAGTAACACAATGTCTCAAAACTCTACAACACTCTTACCACTGACTTAGACCAAAGATTGCCATCTGCTGAACTATCAGCACCTCCTCTTATGCCAATCAGCTTTTCCTCCTTTCAAGTATTGAATCCATTTGGTTTTAGAAATCCAAAAGGATTGGTACAGAAGTAACATGAAGTTTTTAACTTGCATAGTCTACTCTGTCAGGGACAGCTTTTCACAACCATACAGCTAGAGATTTCTCTCTATTAGAAATGTATAAAATCTGGTTTCCAAGCCTTTCCATCTCAGTAGATTTCTCTATTTACTGGCAAAAGACTGCTTGCTACTAGAACCTTGAGCAAAGTAAACTATACCAGCAAAAATCTTGGGTATTGGCCAGTATGAAAATGTTAAGAAAAAAATGCATGCACTCTTATAATTAATGTTAATAGAGTGGCAAAAATGTCTGCGGTAGTCTTGGCCCAAAATACATAAACAAAACCAAATAAAGCAAAAATAATTCTACAGCCTTAATAAACATATCCCCTGTCCTAATTGGGCACATTCCCATGAGCAGGAACATCTGTTCCCTGGGGACAACTAACAGCAGCACATATTCGTGTCTCTGCTAGTTGTCCCTGGGGAAGCACCCCTGCACACATACTCTGGCACATGGCAAATTGCCCTGGGTGGGGTAGGGAAGGCTGGGGCCAACACGTGAGCTGCCTTACCGCTGGGTTAGCACCTGGTCAGCACCTTCTGGGGCTCCAGCGATCCAGGTGCACAGAGCCTGGCTGACAGGCAGCTAAACCATGGGTCTGGCTGGCCAGGCTCTAGTTTCAGGCGCTGCACATTGCTGCTACATGCACCATCCTGGTTGCTTTGTTTCTGACGCAGGTTGGATTTTTTTTGACACCAGGATCTCCTGGTGTCAAAAAAACTCCTGCTGCACTACAAATCAGCAACGTAGAGGACATCTGCATGCGTACTGCATGCAGTTTGCAGTACCACAGATGGGTCTACAGCACTACAAACTGCATGTGCAAGCTCACGGGGACATGTCCATCAGGTTCTTCTATTCAAATTTTTATATAGTGAACTTTAGACAACCCCTTTGATACAGAATCCACATTTATAATATAGGCTGTGTCCAACCTTCTTGTCAAAACTGCACTCCATTTAAGGAGATTTCAGAAAACTCTCTCAAGTCATATTTTTCTCTGAAACTCATCTGCAGCTCTAAAAAGTATCATGGGAACAATTTCGCGTAGCTTTGAACAATAATAAGACGAGAATAGGATGAGCCATATACAGAAACTTGATGTCATTTACCTGATAGAGTACACTACTCAACATTTGCTGTTAGAGCACTCCATACAACCTGAAATGTTTCAGATTTGGGTAAATGAAAAAGCATGCGACTAAATCAGAGGCAAGGGTTCTCCATATTTGCCTAAGGAAATCATTTTGTGGCACAATTCACTTTAAATCCTATGAATAAGAGAAATATAAGACCAAAAGGAACCATAAGATCCTACAGTAACTATATCATGACATCATGTATATCATGACAAATTTCACTCACTTATCCCTGGCTTCTTTACTTTTCATTCCATCCAGGAAGAGCACACACCAACTGCTGAAACTTCCTTAGCCTGATGAAGGGTTTTTGAACTCAAAAGCTTGCTTAATAACTATTCTCCAACTATTTGGGTTGGTCTAATAAAAGATATCAAATTCACCCAAGGAACCTTGTCTGCCTATGTCCTTAGACCAACACGGCTACAACCTACACCCCTACTCACTTATCCCTACACTAAACCCAATAATTTGTGCAGGACAAAGCATACCTTCCAGAAAGGCATCCAATCTTAATCTAAGGACATCTAGAATGGAAAATCACTCACTTCCCTTGGCAGTTTTAATCACTGAAGGCATGCAACAATTGCTTTCTCTTCACACAGGTGGTTTGCTTAAGACTTAAAAACACCACACAGCAAGCTCAGGTCTTGGTAAGACTCTTGGCTTCCTATTACCCAGTTTGTAAATCCATGCTCCTTGCATTAAGTTACATTACAGTGCACTGCTCCAATGTCATTAAAGGTTATTCCTAAGCAAACCTTTTCAGTCTTTCATAAAACATGATGCTTGTTCCACTGTCTCTCTCCTAGAATCTACTGAAATCTAAATTCTGTGTCTTAATACAATGATGGATTTGATTCTGGGCTATTTTGTCTTTAAAAAAAAAAAAGTCTTAGGAGAGGGAATTCTGCAAAAGAATTCAAATGAAATGGAAACAGAGTGAACTAATAGCAACAGCAATCTGCTCCAGTATCCATGTTCCAAATCTTTTAGCAGGTTACAAAGAAATCACAGTTCTGACACTGAATTTCACTATTTTGCTGTTCCTTTCAGAAAGACATGGCCTATATTTGGTTCTGCTACAAGGATTGCCTGTTCTTCCAAATATATTTCTGTAGCAAATAAGACTTTAGCAATACTGTATTTTCTCACATACCATATGCCCCCAAAGATGATACACACCTTGTTTTGGAAAAACAGAATGGGGGAAAAAAAAAAAGATTTTTCCTCTCATGGCTGATTGCTGACTGCAGCGACCCTGACTGCAGCAGCTGTGGCTCTGAGACGGTTAACACTGTAGCCGCTGAAGGGTAAATTCTGCCCTTCCTTCCCTTATACTAGGAGAGGGAGAAGCATGGCAGTCATCTTACAGCAGCATCTCCTTGCTTCTACTCCAGTGAAGAAAAGACACTTAAATACATGCATGCCAAATTTGGAGGACTAATTTTGGAGGAAAGGGTACATAAGGTATATAAGTAAGTACAGCACGTTATACACAGAAGTTCAACTTTAGAAAAATGCAACTTAACTTGCAAAAACTAGAAGGTAAACAATTAAAGTCTAAAAAAGATCATAATGGCAAACAAAATGAGTACTGCATTATCTTTACTGGATACAGGCCATTATACACTTTGAAAGCTAATTCAGTATTTAGATGAAAGATAGGCAAGCCCTCAAAGTAAAGAGATATACAGAGTGATTAATTGGTATAATGTATCGCACTCTGAGGCCCACTGATCAATACAAACGTTTTCTAATAGGTATACCTTCTGTAATCTCATATACACTTTCCCAGTGCTATATATTGCCCATCTGGCAGCATTTAGAAAGTCTATTATTTCTGCACTCTATACAATGACTGATTAATTTAAAATGTGCAAACAGTCCTTGGAGTGGAGATCAGAAACCAGGTATCCCTGGTCTAGGTAAATGTCCTAATCTTTAGGTTAGAGAGTAATGCTTCCTCTCTTTGGTTTAATGAACCTTGAATTATTTTTGTACAGTGGTACAGCTTGGCAGGAAAAGTAGAAAGTATCCTGGTGACTCTCCTGGTAAATTAAAGGTATGGGTTTGAACTCTTAGGGCGCGTCCAGACAAGCATGCATGTGCCTCTTGCCCTGCCTCAAACCCCTTTGAGGCGGGGCAACAGGCACATGGGGGAACAAAAAAATGTTCCCCATGCTGCAAACTTGCAATGTGGGGAGAAAATTAGACCCCTGGATATCCAGGGGTCTAAAAAAAGTGAAGTATAAAAAAGGGGGCAGGCAACTGGAGACTGGGTCCTCCATGGAGACGCTCTGGCTGCCAGAGCATCTCTATGGTTGGCCCCTCACCCTGGTGCTGAAACACATGGCCAGCCAGGCCACGTGTTTCAGCACCAGGGCTCCAGTGCCGGTAAGTAAGGGGTCGGGGGGGGCTGGAAGGGGGAAGGGGACCATGGGAGGAACCCCCGCTGGCCCCGCCCACTCC